GATGCATCTCTAATGTAATAATGTTTATGAATAAATTTGGAAAAAAATTCACCAAAGGCTAAAAAAAAAAAATTCAATTTTTTTGTTTTCTATTTTTTTATTTTTTGCATCTTTAGTGAATTTCTTACATCACACATGAAGTTGATGTGTTGGTGATGTGACAAATTCTGTTAGTTTTTTGGATGGAAGTCAGTCTAGGAGTAAAGTAAGAAGGATTGCAAACATGAAATGCCAAAATGGGAAGTATTGCAAACATGAATGACCAAAGTAGAAAAAATCAAACTTAAGGGCCAAAGTGGGAAGGATTGCAAACATGAAGGACCAAAGTGAAAGATTGCAAACATGAAGGGCCAAAGTGGAAAAAATTAAATTTAAAGGGCCAAAGTAAGAAATGGGTGAAACTTTAAAGGGAGAAAAGTGTAATTTATCCTTTTCCAAACGTAACACTCTAATCAATGTATTCCCAAATAACACTCCAATGTAACAAATACAAAAGTATTAAAAAACTCCTTAGTGTACTTTTTCTAAACGTAACACTCACAATTTGAAATTATATATTTATCCAAAACTTACTAAGGAATTTTTGTATTCCTTTTGGAATGGTTTGAAAAATCACATATCCTTTTTGAATGGCTTGAAGAATACTACATCTTTTTTGTGTGTTACATTAGAGTGTTAGACTGACGACCCCGACATGCATATCATTATTGCATATTATTTTATTAAGGAAATATGCATGTTTAGGTGTTTAATTTTGGTGTATATCTGTTTGATTATGAAATATCTGTTAAAATACCTATCTTGTATCAGAAATTGAAGGCCCAAACAAATTCAGAAACCAAAATTGGCTAGTACCATAGGCTAATTAGAATATTTAGACCCATATGGGAAGTTTGATTAAAATTTAATTCAAATTAAATTAATTAGAATTGAATAAGATTAATTAGACTAATGTTAGATTAATTAACCTTCAGCCTACTTAATTAGTCTAACCTAATCTAACCTATATATATATATATATATATGTATATGCTATAAGCTAAGAGAATGAACTCATAACATTACATTTGTGCTGAAATTTTGAATGAATGAGATCATTTGAGAGAGAGAGAGAGAGAGAGAGAGCTCAAGAACTTGAAGAATTGCTTGGAGGATTAAAAAATTAGGAAGAAAAGTCAAGTTTTTGCAAGAATAAGCTTAGTTGAAAACTCTAGGTATGAAATCCAACTTCAATTCTTGATAATAACTCATCTGGTAAATGAATTCATGAAGATTATGAGCTTAATCACAAGAAAATGGTTGAATGATGTTGAATTTAAGGCTAGAGCATACATGCATGCATAATTCCATCATATTTGATCATTTTGAGCTTGAGTTTTAGTGTTCTTGTTAAATTGAGAGATGAATTTTACATGCATCAAAGAATTACAAGTTTTTAGGAGTTTAATTTCATGCTTTGAGGTTTTGTAAAGAGTTTGAAAGAAATTCCATAAGTACATGGAGATTTTGGTTTCAAATTTGCCAATTCATGGTATTTTCGAGCTTATAGTTTCAAATTGAGTTCATACATATGTTTTTCTATGTATTTTCAAGAGTCTGATACAACCATGCAAGTTTCGAACTTAGATATTCATGTTTTGAGACTTGAACTCTGTTATGGAAAACCTAGAATTCAGTCACTTCGCTCGAGCGGTGAAGATATTGCTCGAGGGCACTTTGCATGCATCTAGCATTTTTGCAGAAACGTTGCACATAGCTTGAGCGACCGAATGTCCGCTCGAGTGAACTCATCTTTCATTACACTTGGTTCAAGCGAGCCTAGATTTCAAGCATCCAAAACTTTTGCAGGCCATACAGACCGCTTGAGCGACCAAAGGTTCGTTCGAGCAAACTGCCCTATTTCAGTAACTTTTGCAAAATACTTTCAAATGCTTACTTTTATTCCCATGATCTTTCAGGAATTCTTGGGCATTATTTAGGCATCATTAATGAGAGAATAAAGTAGAAACACATTTAAGAAAATTGAATTAAGTTGGAACGTTTGATTAGACAATGTGTTTCAATGTGTATCTTTATTACGTGTTTTGTGTAGGTGGTCATCTGAAGGTTAACATCAGTTCAAACCCACAGTGAGTAATATCTCTATAAAGATATGTTCGAAAAGTATTTTGAATTGCTCAATAATGATATTTTGAAATCTTATTTTGTTATCTCTGAATGAATGTCTTTTTTAAAAATTGTATTCGCGACATCTTTTAGTAAGGCCCTTGTCTGGGGGACATAATATCATGGCCTATTAATTGAAACACAGAGATCTCTGATGTTAGACCCTAGTGGTTCACATTGAATTACCCGTTATGGTTTTATTTATTGACCCGTTGTGGTCCTATTGAACTGACCTTAATGATCCCATTGACTTCGACATATTGGTTTATTGTTTCTCTATTGGATGTTATCACGTATAATGATTTGCAATGAATATTGTTGAAACAGATGATTGATATGAATTTGATATATGACTATTATACGAATTGTTTTGGATATTAAAAAGATATGTTTTATGAAATGTTGGACTTTATTCATTAAATCTTTTATATTGATGTTACTCACTAGGCTCCAGCTCACCTCTCTCCCTTATATATAGGGATTTTTGCGGTTCGGTTACGATCGGAAAACCTCCAATCCGCCAGATTAGCAGATTGGAAAAAATCAATCTGCATCCGTCCTACGAATTGATGGATGCAGATTGAGCAAATTGGCTAATGGATGCGAATCAGTTTGGTAGTTTAAACTTTTACAAATTTTAAACATAATACAAGTTGTCAATATTTTTTTTTTTGGGATAACAATCCAACTCAATATAACCAAAAGATTATCAAGTAAATTGTCAAATACCAATAATATATACGTATAAAAAACCATGCTTTATCAAAATTATTTCATTATTTCTTTTATTCAAAAACTATTTAATTTGATTTTTTTTTTAAATGACAAAATTAAGTCTTATATTTTCCACACAAAAATACCAAATATCAACACTTACCATTTGATAAAAGGATTTCCAAATTGAAAACACAATAGAATATCTGAACTCTTTTTCAATTGAAAATATAAACAGAATATCTAAACAAATTAAAAACACAAAGTCTTACAAATTACTAGGGGCGTTCGCGATTTGATGGTTCGGTTGCGGCCAAAAAAATCTCAAATCCGCCATCAGTCCAAAACTAGGCGGATTAAGAAAAATCATTCCACGACCGTCTGCTCGTCATCATGCATCCATCCAAAATGCAACAGATCGGTTCGGTTCGTTTCGGTCATTTTGGACGAATTGGAATATCCAATGCTCACCCCTACTTATATATATGTAAGTGAGCATGTGGATCGTCAAGTTTAAAGATACTTTGGGAGTCCACCTTTTTTGAGAAGCCTATGTGAAGTGCATCCGTGATGGGGTGTTACTTGGTCTCAAGCGGAGCCAAGCTTTTCAACCTTTTTTTTTTTTTGGTCGTTGTTATTCGGGAACTTTTTTTTTTGTGTAATGATATTGTGTAAAACGAGTTGAAGTTTGTTGAAAATATATTTAAGTATGAGGATTGAATTTAAATTATTTGTGAGATTTGTAATGTAAGCACTACTCAATGGAATTATTCTTATTTTGTTATAGCTTCCATTAAACCCCATTTATAATTATACAATGTGACTTTGTTATAGAGGCCAAAGGTAATCAAGGATTACTGGCCGGTCATGACTTAAATCTTTAGGGACAGGTTCGGGTCGTGACAGTTATATTAACATGTTATGTTTGAGAAAAGTACACAATAAAATTTTTGTGTGTTACATTAGAGTGTTACAATAAGAAATTTTTTTGGAGTGTTATATTATAGTGTTACGTTTCGGGAAAGTACACTAAGATTTTTTTTTTTTTTTAGTGTTACGTTTGAGTGTTACATTGGAATATTACAGTTTGAAATTATATATTTGGCAAAAACTTACTAAGTAGTTTTTGTACTCATTTTGAAATGTTTGAAAAATCATACATACTTTTAAAATGTTTGAAAAATCTTATATTTTAACTTATTTTTGTATTCCTTTTGAAATGTTTTTCAAATAAAAAATATTTTTTTATATAAAAATTCATTCCAAATTTGATTATCATATATTGTGTATCTTACCTTTACAGTACAAAAGAAAATATATATATATATATATATATATAATAAAAAGGGGGATTTTTTTAGGGCACTTGATGTTAAGATTTTATAACATAAAGAACATTCAATATTTTCATAATGTCTAAGGTTTGTTCAATTTTTTTGATTTTCTATGTTTTGAAATTTCTCTAGGGTTGAATTTTCTCTAATTTACTCACAAATAACTCTGTGATTTGTTTACAATTTTCTTTGTGTATTTGACTAATATTCTCTGATTTACTCATAATTTTCTCTATGTTTTAACCAAACCAGAGAAAATTGTGTCTGTTACTTTTCTGTGTTAATTTTCTCTGTGTGATAGCCAAAGAAATTTGTTGATTTTCTCTAGCCAAATCACATTTTCCTACTGTGATCAAATCACACATTCAATTTCAATCCACAATTTCAAGTAACCAAACTTGGAAATTTCTCTAGTCTTCCCTTCTTTCCAGATAAATTTTTCTTCTCTAGCCTTCAGAGAAATTTCCCTCCCACGAGAAAATTTCTCTGGCCTTCCCTTCTCTCCAGAGAATTTCTCTTCTCCAAACCCAGAGAAACTCACTCAAACCAGAGAGAAGAACAAAATTACCTATGAAGAACACCATGGCTATGGCAATGAGCAACTTCAGAGAGTAATGGAGATGATGATTCAGATTCTGAAGACGAAACCATATTTTTAACAAAATGTAATTCCAAATAAATAATAGAGTACTTTTGACAAGCAAATGCCTCACATACATACACAATTCCTGATGTGCATTCTAGAATTCTATCTTCAGGAGATAATCTAGTCATGTCCAGTCAGGCTTGTTGAACCTTGGGTCTGCTTACCCAAATTATTCCTTGTATGAAAAACACAAATCGAATTACTTCATAGCCACAACTTTTGCATCAATACATTGGAATTTATTATTGGTTATACCTCCTAACCATAGTGACATAGACAGATACTTCAGGATAAAATACATATAAACAGATACTTTAGGATAAAATACATATAATGAATATATAATTGAGCGAGTGAGAAGTTAACAATCTAGAGCAAATCTAAGCTTTGTGAGGGAAAAGGCAAATCGGAAGGCCTTTTTTAGCATTAGGCATGGGATCGAAAACAATCTTCTCATTAGGAATTACTTTCTCCCACTTGAACCTCTTTACCAGATTATGCATGAACACTAATATTTCCAATCTAGCATACTCTTTTCCTGGGCACATTCTTGGTCCTCCTCCAAAAGGCACGTATGTGTAAGGTACGGGTCCAGATCCCTCAAACCTTGATGGGTCAAACTTGTGTGGCTCGAAGAAGAATTCTGAATTTTTATGTGTCGAGTTCGCACTCCAATATAACTGATGATTTCAAAATGAAATAAGAAAAATAAAATGAAAATGACAAGGTAAGTTATTAAGTAGCTTACAATTTCAAACAAGTACATAATACAAATAATCTAGTCCAGATCTAAACTAGAGGCAAACAAATAAAATAAAGATGCTATAATTATCGGATCGGTTTGATTTTTTTTTATGTGATATATACGAAGAAGAGTCTTAAAAAATGAACGATTTGAATCTAAACGAGTCCCGTAGTGAGTCCCATTGGCCCAAACAGCACCTCTCTGGTCCAAATCTAGACCCGAGAAATTCCAATCTCATAAAACAATTATATATGAAATTTTGGTTATTACCTTACAGCCTTTTGGAATTGAGAAACCATTGTACATGAAATCTGTCATTGCTTCTCTAAAAGCTCCTTGGAGGGGTGGTGCAAGTCTCATCACTTCACACGCTACATTCCATGAATACTTCATCTTCTTAATATCATCCCAGTTCAACAATTCCCCTGGAGCTTTTGATTTCGCAATTTCCATTTGCTCTGTTCACAACAATGCAAAATCATGCAATCATTTGCAATTAATTTAGTTACTTGATCTTCTTGTGGATCATTCGAATCTTTGGCTTCTTAGGGAAAATTAATAAAACATTAAAAGAAACATTATATTAAATAATTGATAATTTTTCTAAGGTGGTTCAATTGGGCAGATACTACTCAATTCGTAACATTTCTTCCAGCTATTATAATTTGGGGTTGGTTTGACAAGTTTTCTTTCAATAACATTTTGTTTTCTATTTGGGTAAATTATACTTACCTCCTTTGAGATTTGAAAAAAATACGGTCACCTCCACACCTTTGACATAGTTATACCGATTTCTTTTTTAGTAAAACTAAATTGATTGAAACTAATGCAGCTAGTGAAATAAACAAAGATAAATATATATTTTTTCATAAAAAAAATGATGACAAGGTCTATTTTTTCATTTATACAACTAAGGAATTACTAATAAAAAATTGTCTAACTGTAATGTCAATTAAATTATCAAGAGATATAAGTGTAATTTTGTCAATAATATGGGCTTAACTGTATTTTTCAAAAATTTCAAGGAATGTCATTGTAATTTACCCTTTTTATTTTTATTTACTTTTTTTTTTAATTTTTTATTTTTACCTTTTTCAAGATAAAGTTGTTAATGCTTAAAAGTTTTTTTTGGGTTTGGACCTGACTTACCCCCCAATCTTGTGCCTACTGTGAGCCCATTGTGGTCATCCTAAGTGCTACTCAAGTAGATTATTCACGTAAAAATTAAGTTGTTGGAGATTAATAGATATATAATTAAATTATATTTGTCTTTAAATAATAGAGAATTTTTTTTTCTTTTAGATCCCTAATAATATTTGTTTAGAAAGATAATGACAACACAATTGTCTATATTAGTATAGGTTCTCCAAAACATACAGTGACAAAAATAACGCCATTACACCCTTCAAATACCGCCTATTACTTTTTTTAACTCATTTAAAATTTTAAAATTTTATAACTTTTGATCTTTCTTTTTTTTAAATATAAAATTTGTAATTTTGAAATCATTTCATTAAGATCTATGAAATAAGATGCATGATGAATACAAAATTATAAAAAGAAAAGTTGATGAAATTTTACGAACCTAAGATAGGTTAGTAAAATTTTGGTTGGTCAGTAAAATTTCGATGACCAAGTCAGTCTAAATTCGTGAGATTTTGATTGGTCAATAAAATTTCGATGACCAAGTCAATGGTAAAATTTCGGTTAGTCAGTGAAATTTTAATTTAGAGAAATTTTACGTAGGTTAATGAGATTTCAAATAGGATTCTAAAGATGTAATAAAAAATTATTAAATTTTAAATTTTGAAATCACTTAAATAATGTAAAAACTCACATAAGAGAGAAACAACATTACGAGAGATATGTTAAAATTTATAAAGTCATTTTGGACTATACATGTTAAAATTTATCCTTATCATTTTAAGATTTCAAATTTCAGGGACTTTAACTAGCAAGTATGATTTCAAAAATAGTCTACTTATTTATTTATTTATTTATTTATTTTTCTAAATAGCAGTATCAAAAAACGTATGGCTATTAGTGATATGACTAAATATCTGTTGGAATAATTTTCTGTGTGAATAAAATAAACTGAAATTAAATCAAACAAAATAAAATAAATCTTACAGAATTTATTTCATTGAACTGAATAAATAATTTAATACCAAGTCGAGTGTGTGACACTCTGTCCGTAAGACAGATTCGCCCCGTTACGATGCTTACGATTGAGTGGCGTCTATCTCCCATGATACAATGATCTTAATCAATTTGTAGTAGCACTCCAAAACAAATTATTCGGCGAACCAAACCTGTGTTCTAACTCTCTGATTATTTAATCTAAATATAATATATGAAGAATAAATACGACAGAGCAAAATCTGGACAGAAAAGGCAAAGAGCAGACTGATTTTCGGATCTGAAAAACATGCTGGACAGTGCTGGTATATATAGAGCTGAACAGGTGCAAAAATTTGAACTGAACATGTGTGTTTTGAATTGAACAGATATGAGTTTAAATTCAAACATATTTGAAACTGTTTCAACAGATGCAGCAGTTAAAAACCTGTTCTGAAACTGCCTGGACAATTTGGAATTCAAATCTGTCCGAAATTAAACCTGTTCGGGTTCAACAGAAAAAACCTATTTGGATTGTTATAAAAGTTGTGGAATTTATCTGAAAGATATGAACAAAAAATTTTGAATTTTAAATTCAAATTCCCGCAAATTATTTTTGAAAAAATTCAAATAAATTTTGTTCAAAAAATTAATACAAGAACCGACCCGACCCACAACCCACACCCGCGCCTGGCACGGCTGGACGAACGGCGACAGTACGCGCGTGTGGTGGTTTGGGCTAAGGTTCACTTTGTGCATAACTCCTCCCTTCTACAAACTTGGGGTGCCCCTTGGGGCTCAACACAAGTATTGTAGGCTAGAGCTTATAAACTCAACAAAACTCTCTTCAAGTTTCAATGTGGGACAAGCCTCACAAGGAAACCCACATTGAAAACTTAAATGTTCAATTCCACGAACCCGAAAACGACGTCATGTTCCCATTCACTTATAAATGGTTTTGACGAGCCATCTTCACCATGTGACTTGCCACGCGGCAAGGAACATTTCACCTCTTCGGACCTGTCCCAAAAGACGTTCGGGGCCCACTCAATTTTGGGCTCAAAGTCGGCCCAAAATATGCCTATATTAACCATTTTTCCAACAATATTGGCTTGTATCAACCAGTATACCAATAAATATATAATGAACATTAGAGCTCTCAAATATTAATAAGTATCGGCCGATATTTAAAACACGATTAACACTTTCTTCGGAATATCATCTAGCAACTAATTCAAAGGCCACAGATAAGGTCTCATTTGGCAACTTTCAGTTTTAGTCAAAAAATCACTATAAATTATTACATCACTCTTTTTATTCTTTTTATATATTTTTTTTGTAAAAAATTAAAAAAATTACTAAAATAACCTATTTGACCTAGGTGATGATAAACCAACGTTGAATTGTGGTATTAAAAAAGTGGCAGAGCGAATCCAAAACTGTATGTGCTTATCTATACTATATATTAAGCAAAAGGGGGTTTTTAACCCCAAGCTTTATGGGAGCTTCAATCTCCCAATCTAAATTTCTTGATTTTTTTATTTAAAAAAAAAAAGAACCTTAGGATTTATTAACTTCTCCCAACTTCTAAGTTTTACCCTCATAATAACACTTTAATGAATTAAAAATAAGCATAAAAAAAAATTCTTTGAAATCCAACACATATGAATTCCTTGAAAAGTCCCAACACATATGATTATTATCCCTCATAATAACACTTTAATGCATTAAGAATAAACATTAAAAAAATTTCTTGAAAAGTCCAACACATATAATTATTATCAAAATATTAAACTTTAATATAATATAATAAAAAAAGATATTTAATTCCTTAAAAAGTCCAACACATATGATTATTATCAAAATATTAAACTTTAATATAATATGAAAAATGAAAAAAAGAAGAGATTTAAAAAAAAAAAAAAAAATATTTAAAAATCGCAATTCACATATATTGATAATTGTAAATATATTAAGGAAAATGGGGTCAACTTTCAGTTTTAGTCAAAAAAATCACTATAAATTATTATTTCACTTGTTTTATTTTTTGGAATATCTTTTTGTAAAAAATTAAAAAAATTACTAAAATAACCTATTTGACCTGGGTGACAATAAACCAACATTGAATTGTGGTATTAAAAAAGTGCCCGAGAGAATCCAAAACTGTACGTGCTTATAGAATAGAATAAATATGCATGCATAGATACGTACCCTCGTACACTCGTTGATAAACATGAGGAAGCTCCGCAAGAAACATGACAATGGAAGCGCAGACGGAGCTAGCAGTGTCATGGCCACCAATCAACAAACTCAAGATTTTATCAGCAATCTCAGCCTCTTTCATGAAATTTCCATTTTCATCACTCGTCACAAGCATATGTGACAATATATCTTGTGTCAGCGAAGCCTTTCCATCTCCCAAATCAACCTTTCTCTGCTTAATAATCGCCAAAAGCTCCTTCCTAATAAACTCCGAGGCCTTGATAGCTCTCCGGAACGGTGTTCCAGGCAAATCAATAGGGATGGAAAAAATTCCAGCAGCCAAAATCCCAAAAGGATCGGCGAATTTAGCGACGTGGTTCGGATCATCGATGTTGATAAACAAGCGACAAGCCAACCAAAATGTGTATCGCTTGGTGAGAGGGAAAACCACCACTTCGCTGCCAACCCAATCGGAATCGAAGTGTCGCTGTGAAATGGTATCCATGACACCAATATATTGTTGTAAAGCTTCGGGTTTGAGGAAGTTTGGGAGCATTTTTCTGAGAATGATTGCTTCTTGTTTAGAAGAGGTTTGGGTTGAGGATGGGAAGATTTTGTCGACGGAGCTAGGCCACCATGCTTGGACGAGCCTGTTCTCGTTGGAGAATAAGAACTTGTTACCGGCTGCACCGGCGAACACGACTGTTGGGGAGCCTAGAAGATTTGTCTTGAAGGCGTAGGATGAGTACTTGGATATGCGGTCGAATACGAATTTTTCCGGGTGACCTCTCCAGCCGGTGGCCAGGAACTCGAGGGTCTCGCCGATCAACGGCCACCCAGTGGAGCCCGGCGGGAGGGTGAGGTTTTTGAAGTTGGATTTGTAGAAGAGTAAGACAAAGAGAAGAAAGAGGCAGAGGAGAGAGAGGAAGAAGAACTCCATATCTACTATAGTTGCCTCAACAATTCAATGGGTTGTGGAATGAGTTTGGAACCAAGTCAAGTGTTACAGTTTCAAACTATATATTTGTCCAAAATTTTACTAAGAAATTTTTATATTTTTTTTTGAAATATTTAGAAAATGTCACACTTTTTAAAAAATTTTAAAAAATTTCATATTTCAAGTCATTTTTATATTTTTTCTGAAATATTTTCTAAATAAAAAATATTCTCATATAAAATTCATTTCAAATTTAATTTACATACATTGTTTACCTTAACTTTTTAACATAAAAGAAAAAAAAAAGAAAAAGAAAAAAAGAAACATAATAGAAATAAAGGAAATAAAAGTATAACAATATAAATCTAATTTTTAAATAATATATTACATATATCTTTTCAAAATTATTAGAACTAATTGACTTATAAAAAAAAAATTAGAACTAAATATATCATCATTAATCGACCCATGTAAAAGTGGCCCACCCAATGCTTATATTATTAGAGAAAAGTTCGGGATCATCAAAATTTTCTCATGAAAATAATTATGAAAGAGTTCTGATTCTAGAATTACCTTGATTAGTGTGTGGTGTTTTATTCTAAGTATAATCTAAGGGTTACAAAACTTTTATAATTATTTTCATGAAAGATTTTTCATGATACCTAGCATGGCTGATATTATTATATAGCATAGCCACATAGCCACTTGGTAAAGAGAAAAGTTAGGGATTATGAAAAAAATTTCATGAAAATAATCATGAAAAAGTTATGATATTTGGATTACCTTAATTAGTGTGTGATACTTTATTCTAAATGTAATTTAAGAGTCACAAAACTTTCATGAATATTTTTATAAATTTTTTTTTATGATACCTAACATTACTGCCGGATGAAAGAGAAGATATTGGTACATTTGGAAAGATGAACTTGGCCATGAAGTAAAGATCAACTGTGGTTAATAAACAACTCAACTATGGTTTTGGATAAGCTTAGGGGGGAAGAAACCTCCTATTAAAATAGAGGTGATTTTTCAAGGAAGAGGTAGCCTCGTTTTGAGAGCAGATTACTTTATTAATTTTTTGATTTTTATGAAACGACATAAAAAAAAAAAAAAAAAGTGATATAATAATTTTTTTTTAATTAAAATATTTATTTGGTTTTATTTGTATATTAAACATCATCAATGTCCTCTAACTGACAACCGTTAATGAGATTTATTTATTTTATTTTATTAATATTATTATTATTTTAGATATAGATCGGTGCAACTTATCTCTCCGTTAAGGAAAATGTTATAGACCCTAAACAAATTACCAAATAAATTATCAAACCTCTCACATGGGTGTGGGACCCACACACATATGATTTGTGTAGATTCCACACCCATGTGAAAGGTTTAGTAATTTATTTGAGATCCCTAGCATAACTTCTCCGTTAAACTCTCAATTGCTTTGTTTAAGACAAAAACGGCCTCCACACCTACTATCCATATTTTTAACATGTAATCCCAAATAAATAATAGGTTACTTTTGACAAGCAAATGCTTCACGTACATACACAATTCCTGGTGTACATTCTAGAATTCTACCTTCTATGAAAAACACAAATCGAATTTCTTCATAGCCACAACTTTTGTATCAATACATAGGAATTTATTACTCGTTATACCTCCTACGTATAGATGGCGCTGTATGCGAAGAATTTTTTTTTGTTTTTTTTGGGTTTTTTTTACTGAGATCAAGTTTGGCAACCCAAAATAAGTACACACTTTTTATCTTTTTATTTTTTTCATCACATCATCTCTCTATTTTTCTGCTAATTTTTTCGTAAAAAGACAAAAAATATACTTATTTAGGTCATCCCCAGCAATCCCCAAAAGACAAATTGGTTATAAAATAAAAAAAATAAATTCAAACAAAATATCACATCAAATCCCATAATCATTTTACTTTTTCTCTCACAAATATCACGTCCAACTACAAAAAAAACTCACCTATCTTTCCAAATACAAAAAAAAAAATTCTCCAATAATATCCTACAACTAAAAAAACCTAAAAAAAAAAATCACTTCTCAAACACCCACATAGACAGATACTTTAAGATAAAACACATAATCTATACTATATATATAATAGAATGTAGTGGTGTTTCCAAAAGCCTTCAAAATGTTATTCTAAAATTCTCATAATTTTAAAAAATACGGAGCAGCTCTCTTTTTGGTTTATAGTTCATTTCCTCCCCTCTCAAAGACTTTCGGAACAATAAAAACTCCTAACAAACCCATCCATAAAAGTTGTCAAAAAAAAAAAAAAAAAAACCTAAAAGGTTTGGTAAAAAAAAAAAAAACATATCCATAAAAAGCTGTCAAAATAAAATAAATAAATAAAGTCTTTCACTCTCCCACAACTCTTACAGTAGATACATATCCCTCTCCCGCGTTACTCTCACACCTCAATCAAATCTAAAAACAAAAAACACCCATCTATCCATAGCCTTATAACAGATAGATATAAAGACTTTCACTCTCCCACAACTTCTACAATAGATATATATCCCTCTCCCACGTTACTCTCCCACGCCAAACAAATCTAAAATATACTTCATTAATTTCCTTCTTCAGCAGTGAACATCAGCGGTCCCTGAATTCAGTAGTCCGCCTCTTGATCGAATGCATGTCTCGATTCTTCTTTTTCTTTTTCTTTTGCTTTACTAATTTATTTTTTGTTTCAACCATTTGTGATTTTGTATTTTGACTATAAATATTACACCATTTGTGATTTTATATTTTCATTATAAAGATTGCAGAAAAAGCAAGTGTAATTTACCCATAACTTTACGTGCAGACATAGGCAGATCAGTCTAACAAATCCAGCTGCACTTATGGTTCAAAAATTACAAGTTTAGAATAACATGTGCATGGGCTGCTGAAGTTGCAGATTTTGAAACCACAAATCTTTTAAGTTTTAAGAGAATTTCAACCCAAACAACTTTTAAGCCCAATTCTGCAGATTCATTATGTTTATTCTCATTAAAGGTGTACTTTTATTATTGACATACCTTGAATACACTTGCACAAAAATACATTTTTGTATTTATTGAGAAAAGTATGGGTTTGATTTGAATTAGGAATTTAAATAGTGTTCATATACATTTGATTTTTGGCAGATTGTAATTTAAATTATGTTCATATAAATTCTTTTGGTAGTAGTATTGTTTTTTTTTTAACTTTGAGATATGGTAGGAAATGGTTTATAACGATACTACTGCGGATGGTACTATGAGTGTTTCAATCAAAATTTTTAATCTTTCATGTTTTATTTTATTTTACAAAATCCAAAATATATATGTACATACTTGGTTTGAAAATTGGAAATATTTTTTATGTTTTGAAATGAAAATTCTACCATATTAGACATGATTTCAATTCTTTTGTTTTTCTTTATATTTTTTAATTTAAGATTAAAATTTAATTATTTTCATTAATTCTTTAATTTCTTAGATTTCAAGAATCTATTAAATTTAATACTATATTTTGTTTATGATTTTAGTGGATAAATAATTCAATAAAAAATAAAGTTTAAGATGGTTAAAAGTATATTTTGATAGGTATTTACAGTGTTCCACCAATAAGATAATGCAAGTTTACCATTATATTAAAAATACATATTAGTTTTATTTTTATTTTATGTTATGCAAAATAAAATCAATAATTTTACTCATAATACAACTAAATTTATTTTGGGTGGAGTAAGGGGAAATTAATTAATTTTATGTATATTATAAAATCATAACAGGTATTAAGTCATTTGTGCATTAAACACATAATTTTACACCACTTTTAAATTTGTATTTTTATTTTTATTTTTATTTTAAATTTACAAATAATACTCTATTTGGTTTGGAGTTTTCAAAAACAGTTTTTGAATTTTCAATTCGTATTTTTATATTTTTAGTGATTTTTTAAATATTTTTATTTTTATTTTTTAGATCCACTTAATCTTGATGTACTTAAAAGGTATAAAATTTGTACAAAAACCTTTAAAAGATTTATTGAATACAACAAAATGTGAAAATGTATTGAATTTTTGTGTGTGTGTGTGTGTGTGTATTTGATGAATTTTTTAAAAGTTTTTTTTATATATAAATATTATACTTTTTAAGTGTATCTAGATTAAGTATATCTAGAAAATTTTAAAAAACTAAGTAAAATATTAAAAAAATTACTAAAAAATAAAAACTCAATTTCCTAAAAAGTGAGTTAAATCAAAAGTTTTATATAAGAGAAACAAAATGATTAAAAAAAAAAGAGTATAATATATATCGACAAAAAATATTTATTCCGTGCATAGTACGGGTGAATGCTAGTAAATATATAATTGAGCGAGTGAGAAATTAACAATCTAGAGCCAATTTAAGCTTTGCGAGGGAAAAGACGAATCAAAAGGCCTTTCTCAGGATTAGGCATGGGATCGAAAACAATCTTCTCGTTAGGAATTACTTTCTCCCACTTGAACCTCTTTACCAGATTGTACATGAACACTAGTATTTTCAATCTAGCATACTCTTTTCCTGGGCACATTCTTGGTCCCCGTCCAAAAGGCACATATGTGCAAGGTACGGGTTCAGATCCCTCAAACCTTGATGGGTCAAACTTGTGTGGCTCGAAGAAGAATTTTTATGCGCCGAGTTTGCACTGCAATATAACTGATGATTTCAAAATGAAAGAAGAAAAATAAAATGAAAATGACAAGGTAAAGTTATTAAGTAGCTTACAATTCTTGATTTTTTTTTTAATGATATATACAAAGAATCTTAAAAAATAAACGGTTCAAATTTAAAAGAGACCCATAGTGAGCCCCATTGGCCCAAACAGCACCTTTCTAGCTTAGATCAGGATAGGAGAGATTCCAATTCCGTAAAATAATTATATATGAAATTTTGGTTATTACCTTACAGCCTTTTGGAATTGAGAAATCATTGTACATGAAATCTGTCACTGCTTCTCTAAATGCTCCTTGGAGGGGTGGTGCAAGTCTCATCACTTCGCACGCTACATTCCATGAATACTTCATC